ACAGCATCTGTGATGAGGCTGAAACCATGTCCTTTTGCCTTCTGCACAACAGATATTTCTGGTGAGGAAATCTGCGAGACTGCAGAAGAAAGTCATCTCTCTGCGTCTGCCCAGCGACTGTGGGTCCTGCCTGAGAGAATTTGCCATCAAAGAAAGTACATACAGTAAGTTGTGAGTTACACACCCTTCAGCTCTTTGTTCCATTGCTTTCCCTGTGTGATGCAGGAGCACTTGCACTGGTGGAACACATGGCAGAAGACACCCAAAGTCATGCAGACAGTGTCGTGGGCTGCACACAGTGCTGTCTGAGGCGGCTCTGGGAGTGGCTGGGGTATGCCCTGGACAAGGAGAGACATAGAAACACTTCAGCCTGTGCTGGCACTGGAATGTTTCCATTGTATACCTTGCTGAATCCAGGAGTCGTTCATTTTCATGGGTAGTTCTCCTCTGTAGAGACTTACATACCTTCTGTAGGAACAGTCTCTAATCCTGTCTGCTGTCACTGAAATGTGCTTGTGTTTCCTTGTACTCAGGGGACTGTTCTTGGATGCAACTTTGTCACGAGCTCTCTGTATCTACAAATTTGGGTGTGGGGTGGTCTTTTCTCTTTGTGTTTTGTTGTTTGCTTGCTTTGTTTTTAATGTAATGTTTTCAAAGGGTTAAAATCCATCTAGCTGTTTCTGTTGCAAGATCAGTGTTTCTCTTTTTTGATTCCATCTATATATGTCTTTTTTAGTGGAAATGAGTAAATGTTGGCACTCCAAATGGTTTTGAATCAATAATACTCTCATATCTTTAGAGGGAGGGTGTGAAAAATACGTTTGAGATTTAGGAATGAAAAAAAGGAAGCTGCAGCTGGTGAGCATATGTGGTGCAGAAACTGCAAGTGGAACAACTGTTTCGTTTTAACAAGAAAGTGAAAACTGGAGAAAACTGGCAACAATTTCAGTAAAACTTCCCTGAAACAGGGGGCCTGTAGTTCTATTTCTCTTAGTAAGCTGACAAAATTTGAGTTGAGTTTTTCCTTTTTCATCTCTCCCTTCCCTGCTCCCAGCAACAAAAAGTCAGTTCTGTGTGTCTGGTTTTGGTTCCAGAAGCAAGGCAAGCAAAGAGAAGAGAAAGTTATCAACAAGAGTTGATCTAAGTGTGATCTGAGGCTGTGTTTGTAGGCTTGTTATACTAATGAATTCCCTCTCTCCCATCTAGAAAATGAAATAATAATATGTGGTCATTTATGAATAAAATTTTTCCACAAGGGGGAAGTATCTACTGAAAGTTTTACTCCCCCATCACAGCTGAGGTTTTAACTGTAGTTGGGGATCTGAACACCTTCCTTCTGTGATCCCACTCCCAGCTCCCCTGTGTGCTTACTGTCTGCATTGTTAGTGTCTCTCTTAAAGAAGTCCATTTTTCTGGACACATAAATGACCAGGTTGACCTGTATTTTGGTGTAAAAGTTGGAGAAAAGGTTGGTACCTGGCTTAAATTTTCCTCTGGTTCCTGAGGAGACTTTCTAGTCAGTAGCACTAGAACCTTGGTGTGGAGGAGCTGGCTTTACAGCAGGGAGTACTGACCAAATTCTGGGTTTGCTGCTCACTGAGAGGTCTTGCTGAGGTATCCAAAGCTGCTGCCTGGCTTTTGGCTTTCCCCACAGAGCCTGGGAGTCACACTTCATCTGTTTCACAGGAATTAGATCTTAGGCTTGGAATACAAAAGCAAACTGTCCACAAAGATTATCAGTATGTTCTTAAAAATGCCTTCAGCAGAGACATGTGCTCCTCCACAGGGTTGTTTTTTCTTAACCAAAGAAAACTTAGCTAGTTTAATGGGGAAAACTTATTAACTTTGTGCAAAAATATGAAATGTGTTTTATTTAACTTTTCTAAGAAATGGTGGATTATTGTGTGATTCTTCCTCTCTTGTAACTTTCTTTGCAGCATTTTCCTTGGAGGGGTCTGGAATAAGTTTTGCTGATTTATTCAGACTTATTGCTTTCTACTGTATTAGCAGGTAAGGTGGTGTTATGTTCTCAGTTATGTCTGCTGGACTTTCTTGAAGAAGAAAGAGTCTCAAGGACTTGGTTCAGCTTGATATTTATGTTGCCAATTACAGATATCCCTGGGTAGTCTTAGAAGGTAATGGAAGAAATAAGAGGTGAGACTTGGAAGGAAGTGTCTCTGTCTTACCTGGTACTGATTACTGGGAGGCTGCTGTGGTGTCCCCCACCCAGCTGTGAGGTGGTGCCACGTTGAACTCTATCTGATATCTTGTAATACTTTCTTACGTGCTCTGTAACTCATTTAATAGCAACTATAAACTAGCTTGCAATGGCATTTTCTTGGAATTGCTAGTTAAAAGAATTTTTGGAGCATAATGGAAAAATGCCAGATCACACTGAGATGTGAATTTGAATTGGGAACAACCAAAATGGCCTCATCAGCTTTCCAGTTTATGATTGCCAAACTTGTTTTCCAGGTAGTATGGGAAAAAATGGCCAGTTTTTATGAGGAGTCAGGGTTTACCTATCTTTGAATTGAGACCATGATGATGATCTAGACTCTAGATTTTCTGTGGTGCAGTCTTGAGTGTGTGTTCAAATATGCTTGATTTGAGTTTGAGTGGCGTTCTGAGATCCTGTTTTTCCAACAAGTTAATGTACAACATAGAGAATATTTATGTGATAAAGACTCGCTGTCTGTCTGTGCTACAGCAGATGGTTGGCTTGTTCACAGCCTTAAAACCAAAATTCATGCTGACAGTAGTTGTGTGTAGGATTTCTGTGCTCCATTCGTTCTCATTTTGTCTTCATTATGTAGGTACTTCTAGCAGAGGTTTTGCAGTTTAGCCTGCACTGCTCGAGGGTGTGTTGGTACCAGCTGGGTAGGCAAGAGGTGTAGTACTGTTTGATGGTAGTGATTGTACAATGTACATATGGTTAAGTGGTTTTGTCCCTTAAAATCTCTGTCTAAAAGCCTTTTACACTGGTTTTGGCTTCTGTTGTTCCTCATGGATCTCCCTTGGACAACATCCACTGAACACCTCGTATGCAGTGAAGTGAAACCACACATGAGAATAAATTACAAAAACTTCCTTAAATGAAGTGTGTTTTCAGCCTAGAACAGAGTAGCACCAAAGCATCCTAGCTTAGAAATTTTTAGAGTAGTTGCACAACTACTTATTTAAATTTTTATTCTGAAAACTGGAATTCAACTTGGAGAGCAGTCAACAGCATATTCAGAAAATAAGCTTTGTTGAAGTGTTAAGGGCAGAGAATACTTTTGCATCTCGCTGATATGCTTGTAAAAGATCAGATGTAAAAGCTTCTGTTGGAAAGGCAGAAAATACTGGCTGGCTCTTTGGAAACCCTGGCAAGAGTCCTGGGTACTTGACTGTCATTTGCACTTCACAACACTGTCCAGGGTGTTGGTAATGTTTTAACTGTGCTGGGGTTTAAGGCTCTTGCTACCTGCCACAGCTCAAGAAGAAAATAATCAGAGATTATCCCCTGCCACTGTTGAAAACAAATGCTCTTAAAACTGTGGACTTTTTTGTGAAAACCATAATTGTTTTTCTCTTTGACCAACAGGGATGTCCTTCCATTCACACTGAAGTTGCCTCATGCAATTGCTGCAGCAAAGACAGAAGCTGAACTTGAAGACATTGCTCAGCTTGGACTGAGTAAGTAGTTCTTTACAGAGATGTCCTTCCCTGTAGCACTCCTGTGAGCTTGAAAAAATGATCTGTGTCAGTAAGTAGTTCACATTGGTTAGCGATGTTACAGATTTCATGTAGAAAAGAACCTTCTCTTATTTGGGAAGACCAAACCTTGTTCTGGCCAAATAGTGGTGCTCCTTCTTCCTTCTGTGCCTTCTGTGGTATTTTTGTTAGTGCTGTTTCCTTCTTCCTTCTTCTCTCCCCTCTCTGGGCAGCCCTTGGGCAAAGCAAATCTTGCAGTCCCCAGGCAGAGGTTTGATGTAGCTTCTGCTCAAAACCCTGCTGTTGGCTGTGGGCTCACTGGCTTGGTGATGTACTGCAGCTGCGAGGACAATGTAGGAACCGAGGGCCCCATCAGTAAAACTCCTGGTCAGGTTGACTTGCAAACTTAGAATGGGGACTTTGGAGGTCAGTGGCTCGTTGAAATGGCAGATTAAGAAAAGGAGTGCACACCTGCAGAATGTCTCCATGTGCATGACAGCAAATGTTTGAAATAACAGAAGACAGTGCAAGGACATGCCCTTGCACGGCCTGACTGCTGCAGCCAAGTACAGGCTCACTGGGAAGCACTCCTTGAGCTCGCAGGAGATGCAGAGCCCGGCGGGATTTGAAACTTGGGCACCACCCAGATGAATCATTGAGCAACTCCTGCAAAGTGCTGAATAGCCTCATTTCCTTCTCCAGGAAGGGAAGGTCGACTGTCAGCAGTCTTTGTCCCAGTAGATTTTTTAATCATCATGGATTTTGAAATGGATCCTCTCTAAATCAGTGTTAGTGTGAGGATCTCTAGAACTGTTCAGTGGGACTTCACAGCAAAGCCAGACACACCAGGATGTATTGCACTGCTTTGCATTTGAGTTTACTGCAGTAGCAGTGCAATTAAGGGATTTGTTTTAGAGAGGAGATAAATTACTTCTGCACTGCTTATCTGCAAGTTTAGGTAATTAGATGAAAATACGGGTTATCATGGGAGTAGAGGCAAATATGGTACTGTTGAGGTCACTGTTTAGATGGAAAAAAGAAAATAAAAGGTCTGACTGGGATACAGTGTAATGATACAGTCTCCCAGTGACACATAGGAAGCCTTAAGGTAACATTAGGTGAGTTTTTCCAGAGGGGATAATAATGGTGGTGTTGATCAAGTTCTCCAGACTAACCCGCTGCCTTTGTCCTCGGTACTCCAGACCACTGTGGCCTACTTGCTGCAGAATTAGTCTTGCTCTTGAACAGTTTCTGCACTGTGTGTGTTTTTCTTTAGCCTAACACATTTGAAAGCTGAGGAGGAGATGGATGGATCAATGTCTGTGTGGTTGCTGTGTTTGGGATCAATTACCTAATATACACCAGATTAATACCACACTTTCTATGAGCAAAAACCAGGCAACAAAGTTGAGATTTTGATGGAGTTTTAGGTGTCCACGTGTGAAAGAGCACACCAGGAAGTCAGCCCTTCAGTGCTGTGGACTCTCAGCAGCCCTTGCTGTTAAATGTGAGTTTTCCTTAAGCAACACGTAGGCACAGAAGGCTGTGCTGTGAACGCAGAGGGTTGTATCTGCTGTCAGAGCTCTGTCGTGCAGTCGGCTCAGAGGAGAGCTGCATAAGACAGGCCAACAGCATGTAGCCCAGCAAACCACATCAGCTGGTAAAGATTTCAAAGCTGTTGCCAACCTGTAAGATTTCATGTGCTGAACATAAGATTGCTCTCTGGGCCTCTCCTGTGTTTCACCTGCAGCAGTGCTTACACCACGTGTGTTTGCAGCAGCCCACGTGCCAGGCACACTGGCCGGTCTGCTGAGAGATCTGCAGGCAGGATGTGAAGTCATGAAGCTGGGAAAACCAGCAACACTGCATGACTGTGTAGAGAAACATGCCTGTGCCTCTGTACCTCTCTGGCAGTGGCCTGTCACCATGGGCCATTTCCTGTCTTCTGCCCTGGAGGCAAGACATGGACCTGTTGTGGATGCTTGGCACTCGTGAACTGGGTCCAGGTGTCATTGCTCAGTGGCCTCAAATGAGGCATCTTGACACTACAGGGGAAAGGGACCGTGCCAAGATTGGCAGATTTCAGCAAAATCTCCCTCCTCTGGTGTTCCTCCCTTATTTCAGCATGACCGCTGTCCTCAAGGGCACATCTGATTTCCATCTTCAGACCTTCAGGAGCTGATGCTCTTTGCCACTGGCTCGGTTGCACAAACACGCAGATGCTTTGCTGGGACAAGTGCGGAGGCTGCAGCTGAAACTTGCTGGTTTAGAATAGGTTTTCCATGCTGCTGGTGTGGGACTGCACCTCGGGTCTATTTTTGGGCTGTTGGGTGTCTATAACCTTGAGCAAACTGTCCCCATGGCAAAGGCAGGGCTGCAGGCCAGTGCTCTTAGACACGTGAGCACTTGGTGTGCATAGCTAAAGGGGATGTGTGCATCCACCACAGCAAAACGTGAGCTGGCTTCTCATGTGTGGTTTCATTGGTTCACTATGAAGAGAAACCAGCCAAGATTTTTGTTGAGTTGCCATATGTGGCCTTCAGCTGGTGTAAATCAGTTAAACTGTTGTCTTTAATGAAGTGAGCTTATTAGTACCAGCTGAGAATCTTGCCTTATTTCTCCTGGGTGAGCTGCTAGTAAGTAGTTTATGTTCATTTTGGTCTCAAGCTGGTAAGAAGTACTCTTTTACAGTCTCCATTCCTGTCTTTGATTCTCAGTTTAATTTTAAGCTTAGTTCAGTGGAAGCTATGCATTGGTCATGGTATTTATAAAAGAGTAAGAGCAGTCCCAGGAGTGTAGCATGCAGTTGTGTCTGGTGGTGCTTTAAGAGGCTCACTTGGAATTCCCCCCCTTTAATTAATAAAAGCTCGCCTAAATTTCTTAATACTTTAAACCGGTATTGTTGAGCTGAATGTTCTCAGAGCATCTGCATGCTGGTTTGCGTTCTTACGTTAATGCAATGATGATTTTCAGACTTTTGGAGCTCCCTGGCTAACAGCAACCCCCTGGATCCTTCACCTCCCTGCAGGCCTGTGCCTTTGGACAGTGCTCGTAAAGCCTCGCGCCAGCTCTGCCTTATAAATGGAGTGCATTCTATACGAACCAGAACGCCCTCGGAGCTGGAGTGCAGCCAGACCAACGGAGCGCTGTGCTTCATTAATCCCCTCTTCTTAAAAGTGCACAGCCAGGATGTCAGTGGAAGTCTGAAAAGGCAGAGCCCGAGAACTCCAGACGTGAATGGCACGGCGAGGCCTCGCTCCCCCCCGCCCCGGCCGCCACCTCCTGCTATTAATAGCACCCTCACGAGCCCGCGGCTCTCCAGGACTATAAAGCAGGCGAGCATGCCAGAAACAGCGAACCATAAGAAAGAGAGAGGCTCGGATTCGTTGCAGAGCAAGCCAGCCCCGATTCCGCCTCCTCGGCTGAAGAAGCAGGCTGTTTGCTCCGAGGCCGAAGGGGGCCCGAAGGCGGCGGCCGCTCAGCCCGGCTCGGCCCGCGGGCCCGGAGCAGCAGCCGGGCTTCCAGGTGAAACCCCGCCCGAGCCCGCTCCCGCAGCTCCCAAAAAGACGGCGGCTACCACCTCTGAGTCACACATCCCGTGGAATGGAGGCAGGCAGAGACTGAGCGACATGAGCATTTCCACCTCCTCGTCCGACTCGCTGGACTTCGATCGGAGCATGCCGCTCTTCGGCTACGAGGGGGACACCAACAGCAGCCTGGAGGATTTCGAGGGGGAGAGCGACCAGGAGAGCATGGCACCCCCTCTGAAGCCCAAGAAGAAAAGAAGCAGTTCCTTTGTTCTCCCCAAGATTGTGAAATCTCAGCTGCGGAAAGTCAGTGGAGTTTTCAGTTCCTTCATGACCCCCGAAAAGAGGATGATTAAGAAAATTGCAGAGATGTCCCGGGACAAACGCACTTATTTTGGATGCTTAGTACAGGACTATGTCAGCTTTCTCCAGGAAAACAAGGAGTGCCATGTTTCCAGCACTGATATGCTGCAAACAATTCGTCAGTTCATGACCCAAGTCAAGAACTACCTGTCCCAAAGCTCCGAACTCGATCCCCCAATCGAATCACTGATTCCCGAGGACCAAATAGGTAAGAAACACTGTCCTGTGTTTAGTGGGAAGGTGAAAATGTGTAATCTGTGTTTACAGTGCTAGTCTTTGTCCAGTTCAGAAAAGTGTGGCTGACTTTGCCAGTAGAGTCTGAGCCACTGAGTATTTGGGTCTTAAAACCCCACATCACCCTGTCAGCTTGGAAGAACTATGCTACCAAGTTGTTTGTAAAAACTTTCCCTTAAAATAGGTGCAGCCTGGACTTTTTACCTGTGATTGTTACTGCTTTAGCTGCTATACTGTTAACAACACAGAATCCTTTATTTGCTGGCACACATGTATTTATCCCTAAACCGGGCTGAAATAGTTCTCAGTGCTTGGTCCAAAACTCCTGATTTTAACCATGTAGATTTTAGCTATAGAACTAGAATTTATTCAAAACCAGTGACATCTAAGAGCAGAGAGACTTTCATGACAACTTACTTTTTAAATAAATCTCATTCTTTGAAACATTCCTAATCACTCCTGGCAAAGCTGCACTGTCCCTACACTTGAAACTAGATAAAAAGATATATAAGAGTTTTAAAAAGCAAACAAATGTGTGCAAGACAGAAAAGGAGCTGCTAATCTCTAACTTTTCTGTTCTGTGTACGTTTGTAAATGCTTGCAGATGAACTATATGCTTAAATATATGTTTTAACAACACAGAGGGACTTGTATATCCACAAAAGTGAAATTGTTGTTGCATAAAATCTTACTGCCTCTCTCTTGCAGAGTCTGAGCAGTATTTGTAAAAGAGCCTGTAAGCCACATTTAGGAGGTAAACATCCCTCAGGGCAGAATACTTTCCTTGTGAGCTCACTTCAGTCCTGATTTGCTTGTTTTTCTCCATAGCCCAGTGTCCCAACAGTTGGCCCAGTGCAAAATTGGCAGATGCTTTTTTCTCTGGGACTAGAGGGTAATTTTATGTTGACATTCTGTCTGTCCTTGACCAAGAGGAAGTATTCTCGTGTAACCTCAACTTCATTTACACAAAGTCAAGCAGAAGTCACAAGGACTGCTAAAGCAAGTACAAAAAACGTGAAGAATGTGCTTGAAATGGAGACTCAGAGACGTGTCATGTTCTCACTCTAATAACAAAGGCTGTGACCTGGGTGTCACATGAGGAGAAAGCACCGAGTTGAGCAGGGGGTGCAGGCACATTTTCACCTGCATTTCTGCAGAGCACTGGGTATTTGACAAAGTAACAGAGATCCAATTTGTGTGTAATTCTGCAAAAGTTTAGTTTGTTGTGTACTTTTAATTTCAAGGGTGTGGTTTAATCAGACTGTGGGTCTCCCAAGACTGGAAACATGTTATCTGCTTTTAAATGTTTCAGTACTTTGGAATAGCATAAGCTGTGAAATATAGTAACTGAACTACACTGGTTTTCTTCAGCGACAGAAAGTCTGGCTTTGATCACATGATTAAACACAATTAATTTATAAAGTGGGATAGTTGAAACAAAGGAAGAACTTGCCTTTGAATCATCTGCTGCCCATGGTTCAAGCCTGCAAACAACTGCAGTGGATCAGGAGCATCAGATGTTGCTGATGTAAGCAGATAACTATGTGACAGCAAAATTTAGTCATCCCTGTAGAGAGCTTTTTATGAAGTAGCCCTGCCTGTGTATTTCAGTATGGAATTGCAGCCCAAATTTTAACTTTGTGAGTCGTCGTTTCTCCTCTCCTGTCAGCCCACGCTTTGGTGGTGCAGGTTTTTCCTCTCAGTGTGTCAGCCCATCGCTGGATGTGTGCTCCTGGGATAATACTCCTCCTTTCTAAGTCAGCCAGGCTTTACCTTAACCCCCTCTTGTCTCCTGAATTCCAGTAGGTTTAGTGAAGCCCTTGGTATTTGGGACTTCCTCCCATATTTCTGTCATGGTCTTTGTGATTGTGTAGCTGTCCTTGTAGAATGGCATCGTGGACTCTTGCAAGCAAAAAAGACTTCTGTGGGAAATCTTTGAAGTTTCCCAGACAGGGGTCACATCACATTGTTAAACTTCTGCAAAATCATTGGGAGAATATGCATCAGGGTTTCTAATGAGTCCTGACAGATGCCTCCTAATCTTAGCACTGTAGGCTGTTAACCCTTCCTGAAGCAATGGGATTCCCAGTGTTGGAACAGAATCAAGAGTGGGGCACATGGCTCTTTATTGTTTAAAGATGAATGCAATTTGTGGTTTTTTAAAAGACATCCACACCTCGAGTTGTATCCACAGAATAAAGACCTGGAGTGGTCAGAGGAGGCCCTGATAGTCCACAGCTGCTTCATCAGCATATGTTTGGGAGTTTTTGTTTGTCTTTCCTCTTTTCCTGGCTTTGAGCAGAAAGGAGTCAGGTTGACTGTTGTCACTTTGCCAGGTGGGATCTAACATCTGAACAGCTTCAGTCTCAATGCCTGAATGTGGGCCTGGTCTAAGAAATGACTGGTTTAAATCATTTGGCAATAAGGTATTAACTGATTGTGTGGAAATGTGCCTAAACAATACAGTCTGTTACTTGTTATGCTATTTCTAATACGTACCAGATACTTAAATGCTGAATGTTCAAAGAAGGTTGGAGAGAAGGTGTTGGCCCCTTACTGGCAGGCCATGCTGTGTCACAGGGGCTTGGGTCTGTGTGGAGGAGTCACAGGCAGACAGAGCTGGAAGGACCAAACACACTGAAGCTCAGGACTGACCCCCAGGGTACCTCTTTTCACATATCTGTCATTTGACAATCAGCCATTGGTAATGGAGTTCTCAGTGCACTGTTTTATGCACCTGTTCATGCACCCACCTTAGGGCTGTTACAGCAGGACAACATTTCCCTTGTTTGTTTATTTGGAAGGTGCATGGAATAGGGCTATGGGTCTTGAAAAGGCTAAGCTGTAGCCCACCCCCAGCTCCCCTCTTCTTCACTAATCCAACTATCCTCTTAAAGGAGTTAGGATGGTAGGTCACTGTTTCTCCTTGAAAAACTCACGTTGGCTGATTTTTAGCACTGCCTTACTTTTGAGGTGCTTGTACACTTGTTTTGGTGTCCCATCCCCCTATCCTGTCGTTCATCCTGGCATCTTTTCATCTTGAGGTGAGGTTGAGCAGCGTGTCCCTCAGTGCTCCTCCTGTCACCACAGGAGTGGCAGGATTGGGAAAGTAAGAAACAGTGCTAAAGGCACTGAGCAGAGACAGAGGACTAGGTTCTCCCTTTTCCAACCATCCCTTTGATTTGCTTTGTGACTTATTCCTTGCTCCTTCTTTTTACTACTACTTTCAGAGGAGTATTTACACACAGCTATAGCATGATTTTTAGTTAACCCACAGCTGTTTAAAGCAAAACAAGCCTAGCACAGATAGCTGTGTGATTGTTTGGTGTGCTTTAGGTAGGTAAAACGAGGGCAGGCTTACCTTTTGTGCCTAATTGCTCAGTTTCTGCCAGCGCTGCCTATACATCGCCCAGCTCAGTCCTACCTCTTCTCAGAGTTGTGCAGATGATAAAGGAATGTGGGTTGTGTGAGGTCTTACTTTCAAGTCTTGCTCCTTCAAAGGAGATGCCCTTATCTGCACCATGGACTAGGCACGTGACACTGCAGGCACCACCAAGAAATGGATACTTGGCCATCCTGACACGAGCTATCCTAAAATAGATCCGTGTCAATCATGTGAACTTTAAAGGTATCAGGAAAATCCAGAACAAAGCAAATGCAGTGTAGTCGGGTGTCTTGCACGTACATGGCGTGGTTTTCCAAAGCAACCTCCTGCTTTCAGCTCCCAGACAGTGTTACTGTGCAGGACTGGGCCTTTCCGTGGTGCTCCTCAGGCTTGCTCAGTCTCTTACTGACCCCTGCTTCTCCTGATGACTGGTTTGGCCATCAAGGGTGATAAACGGGGCCTTGTGTGAAACAGAGACTGGAATCTGACAGGTAATCTCAGCGGACCAACAACAGCTGGTAACAGGTAAACTGGGGGCCTGGAAAAGGTGAGCGTGTGCCTTTGAGGCAGTTTGAGGAAGTGAGGGTTGTAAAGAGGCTGTGTAAGGACACTGGCGATGAGTAACATGTTGTCCTGTCTAGATGCAGACTTGTGTGGTTTGCAGCAAAACAAAAATAGCGTGTCAGCACAGGATACAGATGTGTTTCCACAAGTCACAACGAAACTAGCTGGCTGGCCTTTACAATTCATTTATCAAAGCACTTCCAGTTCCCATTTTGAGGGTAGAGGCTAATTATAAGTATCACTTCAGGAACGATACACAGTGTTCAGCTCAAATTATATTCAGTAAAAAAAAAATAAATCTGAAGAGTGCCTGTTTTGGTTTTGGAGTGTTAAGCAACCTGGCAGGAAATCTGAAAACATATAGCTGAAGTGAACAGGAATTTTTGTTGCCAGTTTGGATCTGAGAAATATACAGAGATGCTAAGGTAAAGAATCAGTCCTTAATTCACAACTTAGATGCTAATTTGCTGGGAGACCCTCATATACTTGTTTGTGGCCCTTAGAAGTTACACAGTGAAAACTGCTGCTGGCTGGGAATTGGTTTGTGGGGTCATAACCAGAAACAGCTTTCTCTGAAAGGGGCCAGAAACAGCAGCTCAGAAGAAAGGGTAGATAGCTGGATGATCTGCCCCCAAACATGCTTATAGGTGCCTGTGACACTGAACGTTGTTCTAAGACCCAGATCACAAGAAATGCTGTCCTTCCAGGCTTTAATAATAACATAACGTTTTTTACAGCTTTTGTATGAATTAGGAGACGAATGGGTATTATTGTTGACCATTAAAAAACCCATCCAGTCCTTACCAATGCTGCTGCTTGCTAGATTTTGCCAGTTTTCCATTTGAGGCCAGAACTCAGTGGTACTTATGTCTGCACTAAGAATTCCTAACGGAGAAGAAAACTTTGTGTGTTGTTTTGGGGTTTTTTTTGTGTTTGGTTTGGTAGATTCTTCTTTGTTGTGGTTTGTCCTTTGTTTTGTTACGTGGAGCTTTGTGCTTATGTGCTCCCTTCCTCTGTGCTGCTTCGAATCGATTGAAGTTTCCAGAGACATTGTGTAATGTGATTGAGTACATTTCAAAGCCAAACCAGGCGCTGCTTTTGGAGCCTGTGACAAATTGTGCATATGAAAGAACATCTCCTCCTACCTTGCCGAGCTGTAAAAATCTGTATGGTTCATCTGTTGGACTGGCACAACCTTTGCCAGGGTTGAGGGCGGGAGACCTGAGCCTCCCCTTCTCACCTGCAAATAAGAAGCCTGCTCCCAGCCAGGGGCCGGGGCTCTGGGCAGGAGTTTTGTCTCCCAGCAGAAAGCAGTTCTGTAGCCTCTGGGCAGGCACTGCTGCTGCAGCTCCCTCCCCACTGTCCCTGCAGGCAGCAGCCAAACCAGCTGCAGGCAGCAGCCAAACCAGCTGCAGGCTGGCCCCCAGAGAGGATCAGGCACCAAACAAAGGGAGTTTTCCAGGCGAGGTACTCCCTCGGGATCACACTGTGGGCTCTGAGGAGCCGTGCTGAACTCCTTAGAATGTACTGAGCCTCCTGCGACCAGATGTGGTGATAACCCCACCTTACTGAGCTGGAGGATGGCTGATGGTCAGTATTCATGTGCAGAACTTCAGTGGAAACCTGTGGGAGTTCCCATTCCTCAGGGATAGAGTTCTCTCACTTGCATGATGCTTAGGAGCACGAACTGCTTTAATAAACAAGACCGGGTGGTTGGAATGCAAACTGCAGAGGTGTTCCTCTTACAGGCAAAGCAGGTAGTGTCTTTCCTGTTTAAGAACTCAGGCAGTAGAAATAAAGCAAGCTGAATTGTCAAATGATCAGTGAAGCTGGCAAGGAACTGTGTGTCCACCCTAGAACTTTAGCTAGCCAGCACACCCGTGGGTGGGGCTTGTGTGTTTTTCTTGGTGGAAAATTGTTTCTGCCTCATGAGCCCTGAGGATTGCTGGGACGGCAGGGAGAGGCAGTTTGTGTCCCTGTGTGCAAGGGTGAAACTTCCCTGGCTGTGTTCTGTCGGGGTGATTGTGGGGCTCTCCCAAGTACAGTAGATAAGGATCAGTCGTTTGAAGTGTTGCCACTTGCTAATGTATAATTGGTGACTCTGGCCTGGGGGGAAGCTGGATCCACCCTTTAGGCTGTGTGACAGGCCACCAAGAACATGTGTCAGACTGATAATGCCTTTACAGGTGGCTGTAGGAAAACCTAGAAAATCAGCGAATGCTGCTCTTCACTCTTTCTCACCTCCAGCAGTTTGACAGTCTGTTGTGAAGGAGAGCCCAGGTGTGTTTATAATGTCCTGGAATGAAGCAGACACAGCTTTGCCCCTCCATTAGGGTCTCTAAAGCAGAAGGCAGCAAGACAAGCTACAGAAGCCCCAGCAGAATTGGGGTAGGGGAGAGGGGAGCTCCCAGCAGAGTTGCAAGTTTGGGAATTGCATAGCAGACAAACACAGAATAAACGCTGCGTATGAAACCAAGGCACCATAAGAGGAGGAGTGTTTGCAGAGTGTGTTTGTGTGGGAAAGAGAGGTATGAAGACCCAAAATTAAAAAATGGCTGGACACAAGGATAAGATAAATAAAATCATAAACAAAAGCAAGAAAACAAAAGTAGGTAATGCTTGTCTGGAGGGCGTGGGTATGTGCAAACCCCAAGCCTTAGAAAGAGTATGTGATTTTAAATAAAGGGAGGGGCAGAGAGAAAAGAAAGAGGCTGTAGTCTAAGAAAAAGACAGAAGTACAGACAAAGAACCTGGGAAGGGCATGAGGTTTAATGAAACTTTCCTGGGGCACCGTTACTAGCAGGAATGTCCACTGCTGGGTTGTAAAAACGTGTGATCTGGCAGTGACACAGTCTCTGCCCTTTCTGCTCTCAGTGCTGGTGCTCCCCTGCCTGCTCTAGGCTCTGGTCCTGAGAGCTGAATGTTCTGCACTCTGGTCCAAGTACCTGATGGAATCTAATAACCAGTGTAAGCCATGCTGCCGTAAGGGCGCCGGTGCTGTTGCTGTCAGGATGTTGGGAAAAGAAACTCCCTTATGAAGTAAAGGTTTGCAGAGAAAATGTTCAGTAAAGGGCTTTCTCTGTTGATGTAGTCTGTACCTTGAAAATGGAGAACGAGGGTTAAAGAAACACTTGAGTAGAACAAGAATTAAAAGGAGCTTGTAAGTTTGTGGTTACAGTGCCATGTGCACGCTACTGCCAAACAAAGGACTTCCAACTTGATGACAAAGCTGGATGTGAGCTTGTGTGATGAAATCTGAAGCTGGACAAACACAGTTTGGTTTTCATTTATGGTTTAAAGCCCATAATCTGTCCAGCTTCGTAAAGATCTTGACAAGTTTAGCCAAGTTTTAGGGAACCTTGGTTGAGTTATAATTTCCAATGGAAACTATGCAGAAAGGATGGACTTTAATGCCAAAGCAGACAAAAATTATGATTTTATGATGTTGGCTGTGTTTTAGTTTAAATTTGGGAGTTAAAGGCTAAGCTGGAAGTAAAATAAAACATGGAGACTTCTGACCAACAAAAGAAAAACTTAAGTAGAGCCACAGCTTGCTTTTTTTTTTACTGTCTGTAGTTCATCTTTGTGGGTGTTTTTTCTGTATTTACCAACTGCCATAAATGACAATGGAACACAGATTCTGCTCTGCCTCTTGTTTTCTTGTTAACAAACATCTGGAAACTCAGCTTGTGTAATAAATAGGCCTCAGCCAGTAGGTTTTGCTCTGCAGTCTCTCTTTAGGGAATGGCTGTATTAATACTGGCTCTGCTTTAGAGGAGGAAGTCAGCTGGACTTGTGTTTTCCCGTTGCAGATGTTGTCCTGGAGAAGGCCATGCACAAGTGCATTCTGAAGCCGTTGAAGGGTCACATTGAAGCAATGTTGAAAGAGTTTCATACCACGGATGGTTCCTGGAAACAACTCAAGGAAAACCTGCAGCTGGTGCGGCAGAGGAACCCTCAGGAACTGGGCGTGTTTGTTCCCACCCCAGACTTCGTGGACGTTGAAAAGATTAAAGTCAAGTTCATGACTATGCAGAAGATGTATTCCCCTGAAAAGAAAGTCATGCTGCTGCTGAGAGTTTGCAAACTGATTTACACTGTTATGGAGAATAACTCAGGTATGGTGCTGCTTACAGTTCAGGTTCAGATACTCCGTTCCTGGCGTTGTCTTTTAGGGGAGTCAGGCCACCTGATTCTGCAGATAGGTCTCCTCCTGGAGCTCTTGTAGCATCTCCTTGTCCTTTTGAGAGGGGTTCTTCCTCTCTGCCTCATCCCTGCTATCCCTGGTGCATCTGGTAGCACATCTTAACAAACTCAGTGTGAGAGGCAGCTGAAAAAGAGCAGCTTTGCTTGACTGTAGGCTTTGAAGTTGGCTGCCAGAAAGGCTGTCTTGTGAGCCTTGAATTTGACACTCATTCTAAATTAGTATTTTTCTGCACATTAATAATAGAGGTAACACCCTATATTTAGCTATAGTAATTCAATAGCGTGTATGCAGCATGACAACTACAGGGTTCTGTGTTAATGGGTGGAGAAAAGCAGGCTCTAACCCAGTATTTTTGGCTTGCTGTGCCTTTGGGTGTTCTCATTTGGACACTTTCTGTCATGCTTTTGGAAAAGAAAGCGTCTATTTCTGTACTGTAGCAAGAATCCAAAAACGCCTTTGAAACCTAAGTACAGAAATGAGACTACAAACAAGTGAAGACCTGCTGAGCAGTCAGTGGCACAATTAAAATGCTGTGCTGAGTAGTCTGAATTTATAGGAGCGACTCTGACATCATCTCATACACTGCTGTGATGGGTCCTGAGCTCAGCTGAAGCAATGCTGTGGCAGTGGGAGGTTTTTTGCCCTGAGTATGAGCTGCTGCAGGTGGTTGGCAGTTTTCTTCCTAAGGGGGCATCAAATGTGCAGCTGGTTTTGGTGCTTATCAAGACACCCACTTTCTTTTGAGATTTGATGGTGAAAGCTCATGGCCATTAAAGCCCCCCAGGTACTTCTGCAAGATTTAGGACTGAGCTCCTGCCCAGCTTATTATTTCTGTGCAAAATCCTGCATTTAAAAAATGGATATAGGAGTGTAGGCCTGAAGTTCTGTAAACTCCCTTCTCCATGCTGTGTTATCTGGGCAACCTGTGCCAGAGCACAGAAGAAATTAGAATTTCTTCCTAATATCTAATCTAAACCTACTCTCTTTCAGTTTGAAGCCATTCCCCCTTGTCCTGTCCCTCCAGGCCCTTATAAATAGTCTCTCTCCATATCTCTTGCAGGCTCCCTTCAGGTACAGGAGGCCTTGCTCATTGATGTTTTTAACTATTCTCTTGTCAAGAAAATGAGTTGAGTTTCCATGTCAAATTTAATACACTTTTACATTCAGGCTTCTCTGCTGCGGGGTTCAGACTCAGAAACTGGTATTTGTGTCTGGATCCTTCCAGAAAGTAGATGTAATCCCTGGATGTATAAGGAAAATGCCTGTTCCTCATCTCTTAGGCAGTGATAGAAGCGCAGGTGGAGGTCAGGCCAGACTGGCATGGCAGCCTTTGTGAGTTCACCAGCTGAGCTGGTGCCAAGGTGAGCCCAGTCTCTGAATTTCCCTTTCGTGCCTCAAGGTGTGCATGATCGGATTTGTGCTTGTTAGAAGCACAGGATGAAGCTGGTGTTGGTTCCTGTCCATGGAGTGTCAGATCACGTTCTCCTTGCTGCACACTGGTGACAGGAGGCTCAGGAGCAATCCAGACATACTGGTCAGAGAGGCACAAAGTAATGCTTTGCTTTCAAACACAGAAATTGGTAAAAGTGCAGTTCGTCTCTCACTGTCTGTGTTCCCTTCAACCCAGGGAGGCTGTATGGAGCTGACGACTTCTTGCCCGTGCTGACGTACGTGCTAGCCCAGTGCGATATGCTGGAGCTGGATACTGAGATCGAATACATGATGGAGTTGCTGGATCCATCTCTGCTGCATGGAGAAGGTAATCTATTTATTTGTTTTTATGAGAACTGAGTGAAGAGGGGTTCTTCCTTATAGTGCAGTTGCTGTTAACCTTGTCTGAGTGGAAACCCTTTTAAAGGGAGCCCTAACACGGGCCATGTCAGGAGTGTGACGACAGTCTGGGCACCATTTCCAGCGGCAGGGAAGAGAGCTGGGCAGCCTGCAGAGCACAGGCCCCATGAGCTGGGAATCTGCTGCTGGCCCCTGCCACAGGAGCAAATCTGGGCAACCTGCAGAGCACAGGCCCAGTGAGCTGGGAATCTGCTGCTGGCCCCTGCTGTGGGAGCACATCCATTGTGGCCGACCCATTGTGACTTAGCAACCAAAACCATGCACTGGGCAGGTGCTGAATGTCGTTATCCTTCTGTGCCTGAAAACTTCCTGAGGGTATTCGTAGGGCAGCAGCGTTCCCTTAAACTGTGAGGCACATGGTGGGACTTGGGTTAGGTGCTTTGTAGAAACTGGGGGCCTTCCTTGCTCCTCTGGGGGAAGTGCTTCTGAGAATACTGCCCCTCTTTAATGATCTTTGCTTCTTCCCAGTATTTGATTTTCATAAAGTATTTTTATGAGCCCCAGGAACACGTTCCCCAAGGCAGTGTTGAATGATGGCTAAAGTCTGCTAGAGGCAAGGAAATCTCCCTCCTTGCTGTTTTCATGGTGATGTTTTTAACACCTTCTGCAAGGCCCCAGTAGACCCCAGAACCCCCAGGTTTATGAGGAATTTTCAAGGTTCTCGTGACGAAGCTCAGCTGTGTGTTTAGGTCTGTGTGCACGTTTCCTATTCCTGCTGTCTCTTGGCTTGCTGAAATTGCTGTATCCTCTTCCATCCCGGGATGCCTGAGGGAATTCCTGCCACGATTCCTCCAGCTTGGCACTAGTCTGTTCCTTGCTTTGTGTACAGAGCATCCTCGAGTGCATTGTTCAGGAATCTTAGCATGGAAAATATTTGAAATGTGAAGCTGGGAATCATTAACCTGCTTCAAAGGCAGAAACATTTACTGGACTCTGAAGTCACGTTGTTGCAGCAAAAGAAGCTTCTCCATGGGCTGCTCCTGTCCTAGGCACCAACCGAATTATACTGTGCAGTAAAAACTGTTTAGTGCTTTGGGGTTGTGCATTTCAACTGTAACATATTGTCCAACTTGTCTCACTGGTCTTGCATGTGCTTTATGTATTAATCTTGCTGCAAAGCTAAAGGCTAAGAGTGGATTCTGTCAAATATATAGAAAACACTACTGTGGGCATAGAATGCAGCTTTGAATGCCTCTGTGAATAGACTGTGCTGCCTCTTAGTTGGACACTCCCACTCAAATAGTTTACTTGCAAAAAAAGAAAGACAGCATGTCTTTTGTCTCTCCTGGTTACTGAGAACTGTTACCTCCTGTTGAGACTCCTTTTCCTTTGTGACCTGCAGCTTCTTTTGTACATTGACAGCTCTGTTGTGGCTTTAATTTGTTCTCCACTGATGTAATAAAGGTGCATGGAGCACTGTACATGTCATCTCCTGAACTAGTTGGACATTATGAGGAACTCTAAGAGGGTGACAGATCACTCTTCCTTTTAAAAACAAAGGCAACTCTTTGGGATGATTCCAGAGTACAAATCTCACACTCGGTTGTTTCTTTATTGCCATTAAGGGGGGTTGCTTTTAAGATGCTGAACAGTGGTAGATTGTCTTTTACTTTGTTTAAACAGCTATGTTTATTTCATCCACATCTGAAGCTTGGTAAGAAAACAAATCGCTGTTTGAAAATTGTTCAGAAGAAAACTGGCATTCCAACTCAGTGGAGTTGGAACTCTAAGTGTAAGTCCCAACTTACACTCAGGAGTAGCAGGAGTTATTTAAGTAACCAGCTGTCCTGAGCAGTAGTGGACACAGAGAGAGGCACCACTTGATAACATGGAACACGTGCAACCACTGCACGTCCCTTAGCAGCTGAGAACACACCAGCCAGTGTTCTGCAGGCCAGTGAGCTGTTTTCCTTTATGTATCAATATTTTGGCAGCAGAGTACAAGGACTTTATATATGTGTGTGTCTCTGTGTGTATGTTTATGTATACTAAAGAAAGTGCCTGTACTCATGACTGTGACCACTCTGAGAAGTTCCTCCCTTGCTGTCCTTCACAGGAGGCTATTACTTGACCAGCGCCTATGGAGCACTTTCACTGATCAAGAACTTCCAGGAGGAACAAGCTGCCCAACTCCTCAGTTCAGAAGCCAGAGACACTCTGCGGCAGTGGCACAAGAGGAGGACAACTAACAGGACAGTGCCTTCAGTTGATGATTTCCAGGTAGAACTCCGGGCTGAAATAAGAACTGGGATGATTGTTTTGTTGGAAACTCCCATTTGAGAGATATGAGTCATAGCAATTTGCTCAGGGCCACAAGTGGAGTGAAGCAGTGCTGAGATTATGTCTGGCAAATCTGCCTCAGTTTTGAAGTCTTTGCACTTTATCAAAGAGTTTGGTTATGATGGTGTAAAGAAATCACTAAATAATGGAGCTTTCTCACTCTCCCTTCTAAGTCATGCAGAGCAAGGACAAACCAAATTGTATCTTAGATTCAGCTTCTTTGTGTGCTTTACTGATAAAAAGATCAAATGCAGATGTCCAGTGGTGTAAATCAGCACAGCTCCCCAGTAGCCAGTGCTGGCATACAGCAGGTAATAGAGAGGACAGGTGGGAGGAAAGTTTGCCTACAGTTTTAAAGTTTAAGCAAGCAGTAGAGTTCTGTAATATTGATGTCGTCATGTTTGTTTGTTTTCTTTTTCCCCTCCCCTGCATCTTGTACTGCTCTTTCAGAGTAGGGCAGTACCTTCAACTGAAGAGTAACAAAACAGTCGGGATTGCTTCATCTTTTAGAACCAGGCCTGCATCTTTCATACGCTGCTGACTGGCTGTTCAGATGCAGCAGTTTGTGGACTGAAGCAAGGAGGATGTTGGAATCGAGAAGAAAGGATTTCTTTACTCTTTTGTGTTCAGTTGTTTACAGTTAGGAAGAGGAGAACAGACTAACAGAAAGTCCAACCCACGGCCAGTGCACAAAGCTAGTCCATCTTACTGGGATGGATGCATCTTGTGTTCTGCTTACCTGTCCTTAGGTGTCAGACTCAAGCAGCTTGAGTCTTTGTTCTTTCTGGCAGAACACTGCACTTCCCAGGGGAAAATCCAACACCCTGTATTTCTGCTGGATGACAAAATTATGGAACATTCTTTCAGCAGCATCCTGTGTGCAGTTTCAGCTTCTCTTTCTCTGCAAAGGAACTTCATCCAAGCTCAGTGCACAGCTGGATGCAGGAAGGGGCAGGGGAGGAGCTGTCACTGAGTGCATCCAGTGCCTCTCAGTCTGTTGTCTCTTTAAAAGAGCCTCCAATCAGTAGATCACTGTACTTCCAGGCTATGCTTGGCACAAATTCAGGCGTTTTTCTGTCTGCTCAGAATGCCAGTTTTCTCCCTCTGAGTCCTGCAGTCCTGAAATGGAGCACAGCTCATCTTTCCCACATCGAACCGGGCTGTGATCATGACATTTCTGTGATGTAGTCTCACAGCCTTATCAGATTTTGGGCCCTGGAAGGGCTGCCTTTCCTCCTTCCCCAACAGGATGGAAAAGGAGAAGTCCTGGTTTTTGATGATGATTAAATACAGCTTTCTGATACTGAATAATTTTAATGCATATGAATTACAGGCATTTTTACAAACTTCAGCCTCTCTTTCAAGCAATCCTGTCCATCTAAAGGCACATGTATTTAAAAACAGGTCTTCTCTGTGGTAGCTACATTAGAAATTAAAAGTGTAGTGTGTTTTGCCTTATCTAGGGCTGATTTTTTTCTATAATTTCTTCACGCAAGTAACAAAAATGGATTAGTTCTATTCAGTCAGATTCAGTCCCGATTGTTTAAAATCTGTTGCAGAGCTCCAGTGTTTCAGTCTGCATGCTGTCTTTATTAAGACAAGAGTGCTCTTTGGAACTTAAATCATATGAACGTTCTTGTCAGTCCTAGCTTTTTTCTGTGAAATGTAAATTTTTGCCACTGTGATTTAGCATGCTTAATTTATTCAGCATACAAACTATAGGTACCAGCTCAGTCAATAAACAGCTCTTTCTCACTGTAATTTTTTCTGCCTCCTTTAATTTTGCTGCCTTTTAGTCTTTACTTGCAGCTAATTTTTCTTTTCAAACAAGCAAACAGGAAAGTGTTACATGTGGCAGCTGGACACCGTGTTCATGCGTCCAAAAACCTTTTGGGGGCTCCCACCCTCCCATTTCTTGCTCTTTATTTTACTTTTTGAAATGCTTTTTGAAGGGTAAAACTGCATTTCCTGGCAGGGCATATTTGGAATGTATCCATTTTATCAGAGTTGTGGGCACGTGTCAGTTTTTACAGAGAACAGAGGTCCAGCTTTTGCCTCAAGACCATATGGATTGACTGGAATGTTGCAGAGTAGATTTTCTTTCTGCATCCATCTGAGCCTGTTTAAAAGAAGCAGATGCTGTCACGTGAAGCTTGGTTATGTCAGGCTTAGACTCCAGCCCAGCACTGGTTAAGGATGAGGGTTTGTTGAGTTTCTGATGCCTGTTTTCTTGTTCTGCAGAACTACCTTCGTGTTGCATTCCAGGAAGTGACCAGTGGGTGTACGGGAAAGACCTTACTAGTAAGACCATATATCACCACCGAAGATGTGTGTCAGCTTTGTGCTGAAAAGTTTAAAGTGGACAATCCAGAAGAATATAGCCTGTTTCTTTTTGTTGATGACACCTGGCAACAACTGACGGAGGATACCTACCCTCAGAAAATTAAGGCGGAGTTGCACAGCCGTCCACAACCCCAGGTCTTTCACTTTGTCTACAGGCGCATCAACAGTGACCCATATGGGGCCATTTTTCAAAACAGCAATGACTCACCTTCCTAAAACCAGCCACTCATCATTTGAATTTCTGTTTCTTGGTAACTGTTACAAGCATCTTTGTCGCTGCCTTCCTTAGGAGCTCAGACGTGTCTTAAACCATAAAGCCTAGTAAAACACATGCTGGCATTTCTGGCATTGCTTACAAAACCCGTGTTCTCAACACCATGCACACGGCCAGTTATGCAGAATATTCCACCAGCATGTTTGAGGGAATAGCCCATGAGGCTACATTTCTTGTACCACAGGCTCTTTTGCAGCATATGACACTGTGGCCCTTCACAGATCTTTGCTGTAGTGTGCAAAAATCTATTTTCTTACACTCATTGTTTAGCCAAATGTCATTTCGATTTAAATCTGCATGCTAGACAAGGATTTCAGTAAACTGGCTGGTATGAGCTCAGTTTTGCCAGGAGTTTGACAAGACTGTCCGATGCAGGGCATCAGTTAACTCATAATTACCTGGATGATTGCATCCTTTTCTAATTTTTTTGATTACAGAAAATCATCATGTTTATATATATATATATATTATACATATATATATATCATAGAAATTTTATAGCAGTTGCAGGTAAACTGTCAGGGTTGGTTTTTTTAAATATTTTTTTAACTATAAAGTATTCTATAATTATGCATGTGATTTTAACATTTAATATACAAGAATAAATCTCTTGCTGGTTTTAGAGTATTGCATTAAAAGTATATGTGTTCTCTCTTCTTTCCCTGTTCCAGGAGAGCTCTTATGTAACTTGTGTCATGTGTAAGAAGATTGTAACATCGGCACTGCCGATTCCGGTGCCTTTACCTGAACCTGATGTATTGTTACCTGTATTATTGTTTATATGCATCGTTTTAGACAGAACTAGGGGGCTGGAAGAGAAAATTGAAAGAAAACGTTGTAGAGGAGGGGAAGAGAAAGAATGTAGAGAACCTAATTTAGCATTGAAATCTGTTAGTCTGCTGGTTCAGGCTCCTTGCAGAAAACGGTGAAGGAGGTTGGTCAGGAACTTCAACGGAAGCAGCAGTGCAGGTCTGCAGAGGGATGTGACAGCACCTCTCCCAGGTACTGTGTGTGTTAGCAGAGCATTAAATATGTCAGCAGTGTGAAGGACAACACTATTTTGTACAGTTGGTTGCCAGCATCCAAGCGTGTGTTGGCCTGGAGAATACATGTCAGCATTTGGTGACACTGTGTCACCTGGAGAACACATGTCAGCGTTCCCTGACACTGTGTCACCTGGAGAACACGTGTCAGCGTTCCTGTCACCTGGAGAACACGTGTCAGCGTTCCTGTCACCTGGAGAACACGTGTCAGCGTTCCTGTCACCTGGAGAACACGTGTCAGCGTTCCTGTCACCTGGAGAACACGTGTCAGCGTTCCTGTCACCTGGAGAACACGTCAGCGTTCCCTGACGCTGCGTCACGCGGTGAGCGAGGCCCGAGGGTCGGTCCTGCGTGTGCAGACAGCAGGTTGGTGTTTCATGCACGTGTTCCTGTGGGTTTGTCCCAGACAGCCCATGTCATGGGTGATGCTCTGCACCCCCCTAAGTCAGTCAGGGCTGCTGTCTTAGGGGGACACGGGGTGCTCCCCAAGTCTGCTGTAGCGGTGGAACATAAGGCAGAGCCCACCCAGGTGCCACGGGCAGCACGTGTGTTGTACATACAGAGATCTGTAGGATTGGTCCGTTTGCCTTGTATCTGAGACCCCTGGCACGTGTCTGTATTTCATTTTGTAGATGTTGAGTGTTGCACATAATAATACATTGCAATGCTGAACTATAATTTGGGATGTTGTGTGCTGTGGTTTTTGGGGGGAGCTTTTTTTTTTTTTAAATGGTTCATGCTGTAAAGTTTTGTATATAAGTGACTCTGATGCTGCTGCTTTTTGTGCTGCTTGACCCAGTGTAAACTCTTTGCAGAGAAAGGACCTGTGCTTGGCCTGAACAGTCAGTGGAAGCAACAGGCAGGGCTTGGCTGCTGAACTACTTTTTGTGACAGTGAAGGCTGATGTTCAGTGCTCAAGAAAGTTCCACTATTTTCGTAAGACTGTGACACTGACACTGAGGAGAGGGAAGAACTGGGGCAGAGTATTAAGAAACTCAGAATTTCAGGCATGAAACAAAAGAAAGCTCAGAGTGCAAAAAGGGAAATGTGTGCCTAAACTGCCTCGAGACAATTTTGCTGTCCGTTCTCATGCAGTTGTATCTTCTGAAAATTAGAACATTTTATTCATTGTGCTTTCCAAAACACTTCTCATAACGCCAGGAAACAGATGATACAAAAACCTGCAGAAATTTGGACTGGTAAAAATAAGCTATTCAGTCTTCTCCAGTGTGAGGTGTTTGATGTTAGGAATGACTGAAAAGCAAGGAAAAGGTTATAGTTGAGTTTGTCTCTCATCGCGTTCATTCAGAGCACACTGAGATAACTAGGGGGTGGGGGGAAGAGCACGGATAAAGGTGAAATTTCCCTGAGAAAAGTTTGAGATCAGAGCATTAACTGAGAGCACGGGCTGGGATCAGGGCTGAGCAGCACCACGCCCTGTGCACACAACCCATTTAGCTTTCCCCCTCACGCTTTGTCAGATGACAAGAAACAGATAAATTAAACAACAAAGGGCGCTCGCCCTGAGGCACCGGAAGTGTGCTGGGCTGGGGCGCATGCGCAGTGGGCCAGCACACGGCCCCAGTCACGTGGTAGGTGCGGCCGGCCCGGCCCAAGGGCAGCGCATGCGCAATGACTTCATTGACTGCGGTGCCGCCTGCTGGTCAAAGGGCGAGGCTGCAGCGACGGGACCTGCGCATGCGCCGTGCCCGGGGAGCGGGGAACAATTAACGGGGAACAATTAGCGGGGAATGGGGAACGGGAAATGGGGAGCGGGGAACCGGGGGAGCCCCGCAGGGGATGGGCCGGGCCGGCGGCACCGAGCGGGGAAGGGGCGGCCGCGCCGGTTCCCGGGGCACCCGCCTCTCACGGAGGGGTAAAATGAACATTTTGAGGTAAACCCGAGGAAATTAGTGAGGGACATTCGGGGGGAAAATCGAGGTTCCTTGAGCGGGACAGGAAGGGGCAATTCTGGGGTAACACCTGAGCTAGTCGCGGGAGGTTTAGGGGTCCAACCCGAGTCCCTGTGCAGGGATCGGAAGGAACGTTTCTGAGGGAAAAGCAGAGGCAAACTGGGAGGGCGAGCAGAGGTGACATTTTCCACCTGAAAATGCTGAGGTAATTTGGATGAAACAAAATCACCGTTTTTGTGGGGTGAATCCAGGGGTGCCTCAGAGAGGAAAAAGGAGCCTTTGTGAGAGAAAGGCTGGGAACTCAGACCAGACCGAGGCAGCATTTTGGACAGAAAACCTGAGGTTACTTAGCAGGGACAGAGGTGACCCTTTCAGCTGAAAACCTGGGGTAATTTAGAGGGGACACAACCACTGTTTTCTGTAGGAAGGCGGGAGGTGATGTAGAGGGGAGAGAGGTGGCGTTTGGAGGGAATGGCTGGGATGGACTGCCAGCTGCAGACTGAGCCTGGGGCCTGAATCCTTTCCAGTCGGCAGGGGCTGTTCCCGAAGGCCGTGCCCTGGCTCACAACTTGGTAAGATTGTGTTCCTCCAACCAGACTTCCAGGTGCTACTTTGGCGATCCTCTCGCCTTTGCCTCCTGGGGCTGTGCTGGTGTTGCAGCTCAATAAAGTCCATTTTGTTGTTTATTGGTTTTGATACTGTGCCTTTTCCAGGTTGTTTCCAGGTGCTCGGAGAGTGATTCCCCAGGAGGAAGGGGAGCTTTGGCCTCACCAGCCCGGCTCAGTTGGATGGGACAGAACTGGGGCGGCCTGGCAAGGCATGACCACGTTTCTGAGTTCTGGAGTGCCTTGAAACCTTTCTGTGTTCCAGGTCAGTCGCTGCTTGTGAGCCGAGCCTTGGTTTGGGGGTTCAGGAGCCCGGGGGGCCGAGCTG